GCAGAACTGAGATAACGGGGGGGGGGAGCGAGGAATGGGCTGCATTTTTCCTGAGCCACCACGGGAATAGGCTATTCCAACCACAGATGGCAGGGAGGCTGTCCGACATGAAAAGCTCAAGGAGCCCAAACCAAACAGGCAGTGAGTAGAAGCAAACAATCAAGAAGAAGAAAAGTGAGGGGAAAATCAGTGTGAGTGTGGGAAAAGCAGCATAGAGTTGGGGGAATGCAAGCAGAGGAACAAATGGAAGAAGGAAAATCAGACCAAGAGGTAGGAAAGGAAAAGGAAGAGACAAATGGATGCCAGAAGGACAATCCTGCCAGGGCTGGAACTCCCGATGAGCAGCAGAGCTGGAAGGATGTGAGAGGGGGGCAGAGGCTCCCAGGCTCAAGAGTAAACCAGCCAACCACGGCCTTTTGATTGCATTAAGGCTCGCTTAAAGAGGAAAGATAAATGTGGATCATTTCTGAGGTGACAGGCACAAGCGAAGAGGAGGATCTCTCTGCCTCGATTCCACCCTAAAGCAGGGAGAAAAGGAGTTGCCGGCGTTTTGGGGTTGCTGTAGGGACAGCGAGAGGTCCCCATGGGAGCCACCAGCTTTCCGCTTCTTCACTCCCAACAGCAGAATATAGTGAGGAGCGGTTTTGTCTCACACACCTTCACGTGCCATTTAGGCTGGGGTGCTAGATGAGGATCACAGACAGGCAGAAAGTGAAGCTCCAATAAATCTGATGCCAAATCCTTGCCGCAGCTACCAGTTTTTACCTCAATTGGAGCTGCCTTGTGAGCCACAGGGAAAAGAAGGAAAAAGGGATCAGCAAACCTAAATAAAACTGGGCACGAGCAGCCCCCGGGTTTCTCCCCCAAGCCTGGGAAAGCCTCGCACTACCCTGCTCCCCGTGGTGCTTCTCTCCAGGCATCTCCCAGCAGCAAGACACCGGCTCACGGGAGCAACGGGCTGAGGTGATACGGCACATTCCTGGGCCCTAACACTGGGGACTTTGTGGAGCTGGCTTTAAAAAAAAAAAAAAAAGCCCCCAAAAAAAGAAGCCTTAAAAAAGCCTAATAATGAAGTATTTATTTCAGTAAACAACATATGAATGAAAGAAGTGTTTTCTCAATACTTCACTTTTTCCCTGACTTCTCTCCCTTCCCCCCCAGCAATATTTTTTTTTTTTTAATAAGTGGAACTAACGAGGCTTCGCTCCCTGACGCCTGAGCACGGGAGCGGGACCGGGCTCCGGCGCAGCACATAAACATGTGCCCTGAGAATAAAGAATAAAGCCTGCCTTGTGCCTAGGGAGCGGAGGAGATGTTCTCCGACGGACGCATGGACTGCAGGACCTGCGGCGGGAGCATCCCTGCACTTTTCGGGTAGGCAGCGCAGGATGTTCAGCACCTTATTTATTGTGGCAGCAAATAACCATATCCCCTGGCCCGGAGAAATGCCGGCACCCAGCAACCCTCCATGCAGGGCTCTGGTGTGTCCCCAGGGGACGGGGAGAAGGGCCAAGGGGAGGTGAAGGGATTTGTTGTCCCCATCCCAGCTGGCAGTGCCGGGGACACGGTGTCAGGCAGACACCGTGACGCTGTGCGGCTCCTTCTATTCTACCTCAGCTCCATCGAGCCCTACCTGAGCACCTGAACAACTGGGAACTCTGGAAAAGTCCCTCAGCTTGCCCTGCGTGTGGCTGGGAGGCAAGGATGCTTTCTGCTACGGCAGAGACATGAGGGGTTGGACTGATGGTGTTCTGGGAGGAATTTCAGGCAGAAAACACCAGACCGACATTCGGCCTCTCAAAGCAACAGGCACCGATGATTTTCTGCTTATAATCTCTACCTCCTTCTTGGCAACAGGTAACAGTGGGTCCAGGAGCTGCCCTTTGCCTTCAAGCCTTGGCATTAAGATAGGCAGGATTCTCAGAAGACACTGATTTGGGAAAGCACGGTCCATCACTTTTTCATCCCCCTCCTACCCGCAGGACGGCCTGGAGCGACCAAGTGAGGCTGCTAATCCCACTACGATGCTCATACATCCCTGAAGACGTACAGAGGCTGCAGAGAAATGATGTTTCATGCCAAGGAAAAGGCCAGGTGCCCCCTTTTGCCAAGGAGACTGGTGCTAAAACAGGGCTAAAACAGGATCTGGGGGCTTCAAAGAGATATTTAAAGGGAGAAAAGAGATTTACTGACTTCTTTTCTGTCTTGATTATGAATAAAGAGAAACTCTGATTGTTTTTTAATGAGTTCTTTGCTTCTTTTCCTGTTTGGTATGTTACAAATTCACATATTTGTCTACTTGGAAGATTCACAGTGATTGCAGAACCATTTTCCTGATGACATCGTTTCAGCAAAGGGAAGCAAGTTGTGCAACTAAAGAAGAAAGCAATTTGTCACCAAATAGCTTAAATTCTTTGTCTGGCCTCATTAATACCTGGTTAGCTTTGATGCCTAACTAACCTCACAGATAGAGGAAGCCTTTGAGGAGGACTCCACAAACTCACACTGAAGTGTTAGAACACACAAGAAATGCCAGAAAGATCTCCAAAAAAAGCAGGGAAAACAAAAACCAAACTTGACATTCTTGCAATTTCTAAGCTTTTTTTTTTTTTAAATAAATAAAAAAGAAGGTTTACCCTTCTTTATCCATCTAAGGAAGCAGAAAGCAAGGCAATTTCCAGTTCTTTTAAATATCCTTAGCTGGTCACCTCTAACGCTGGGCGGGTTGACTGATCTGCTTCCAAGGCTGTTGCATGAGAGCTTTGAAACCCAGGAGCAATTACCTGCTCGAGTGAGGACCGCTGCTGGAGACCTGTGCTCGGCACAAGAGGCCCCGCGGGCACTGCAGCAGCACCGAGGAAGGAGAGAACCTCCATCCCTTCAGGCTGGGCAAACGGGGCTCTCCTGAGGGGCAGCTGGTGCTGAGGAAGCCCTGTAACCCTCGCACCACTCACCCTGATGCCCCCAGGGCTCCCAGTGCCCCCACGTTGGCTCTGGTTTATCCACAGGGCAGCGAGGGGCTGCGGGAAGCATCCTCTAGCAGCTCCTGCAAGGATTGTGGGGTAGAAAGGGAAGGGGAGAGGAGAGGAGCAGCCAGCAGCAGGGGCTGCCAGAGGTCATGAGCTCACATGCTCCAGCCCTGCAGATGCACGTGTTCACACGTGAGCCCC